TCTATCTTAAACTGTTCATATCTATCTAGTCCTGAGTATGACGATAAACTACACCCGGCAACAAGTCTTCTGATCGGGAAATCTGAGGTTTTCAAGTGCGTGGAAGCTCCTCTTAATTGCTGCTGTTACCAGGTCCACCCTAACCTGGGTCGGGGGTAGAATCTGTTGTTAGCTATCGGAAAATAGTGAAACTCAAAACAAAGACAAATCACCATGAAAGTATAAAAGTATATTTTATAGTAAAAATATCAGCAATACAGTTTTATATTAAAAAATACCAATTATACATTTTATAGCAAAATAACCAACAATATATTTTATCTTTAGTTGATGACATGGAATGCGTTCAAAATATTTAGTCGAAGCCATGAAATTGTTCAAATATTTAGATTTCGACATTAAATAAGCCATAGAGGTTGATATAACACTATCTATCACTGTTCCCATTATCTATCTTCGATCCATCTATCTATCTATCTATCGATCGATCGATCGATCATCGATCCATCTATCTCCGGCCTTTTCAGGTACTCGTCGATGCCAGTAAACTTCAGAGAATTTCGAATTGAAAGCTTTATTTGACCTAAGGATCTAAATTGTTGTCCAGGGATATATTGTCTAGTTTTACATAATTATTCTCAGTTATTTTTCGTCTGTTTCCACTGAATTCAAGGACACATTGCCCGGACAATATGGGAATAAATAGTCCTCCAGAAGTCTAAATACTGATTACTGTGTTTTCAAGAACTCTGATAAACTTAAAATGGTAAAACTCTAGTATGTTGATTATTATTATTATTATTATTATTATTATTATTATTATTAAGATGAAAGGAAAATAATGTCTGATTTTAGATTATAAAAATATATAAAATATATGAAAATATAAAAAAAGAGACTAGCTAAATAGATATGAACAGTGTAAGATAGATAGATAGAGAGAGAGAGAGAGAGAGAGAGAGAGGGAGAGAGAGAGATATATATATATACGATTGTTTGAAGGGTGGAAAATAATTTGTCCTCGAGAAGTCTAAATACTGATTATTTTGTTTTCAAGAAATCTGATAACCTTAAAATAGTAAAACACTAGTATCTTTATTATTATTATTAGTAGTAGTAGTAGTAGTAGTATATTAGGAATTACGGAAAATAATGTCCGATTTTTTAATATAAAAATATATTAAAAAATATGAAAAAGAGACTGAGATAGATATAAAATTCTAGTATCTTGATTATTATTATCATTATTATTATTATTATTATTAATAATAATAATAATAATAATAATAATATTAGGATGTACGGAAAATAATATCCGATTTTATAATATAAAAATATATAAAAAATAAAAATATAAAAAAGAGACCAAGATATATATAAAATTCTAGTATCATTATTATTATTATTAATAGTAATAATAATAATATATTTCTTGGCGTCGAAACATTTTGAATCTTAACGTAAAGGCATAAAACTCCTTAGAACTTGGTGTCAGAAATGTATAGATGCTCAGGTGTTCCTATTTTGTCTGATTTAAACACTGTTTGCATTCATGCATTAATTCAGGAATAAAAATTCATTCTAAAATCGGATGTTATATTCCGAACAGCCTGATCATTCTTTACAGTGAGGTTCACCCTGTACAAGGCCCATGGGTCTCTCGAGCTAGAGGGTTTAAGTAAGGGGCGGTTTATGCAGATAGGAGAGAAAGATGACGTTTAACCCTAGACTTGGATAGGTTAAAATTGTAGTGACCGGGGAAGCATACTCTTTGGAGTCGGTTCCACAGGGCAGTGGTCCGTGGGAAGAAACTGTTCGAATTGAACTGACTTCTCAACAATAAAATGTGGAGGGATGTGGGTTTGCTACAATGTGAGTGACATGGTGGATCCTATTCCTGAAGGTTAGAACTAGCGGAAACCAACGTATTGCACTTTCCGTGACAGCAGCGACAGAGCAGTTAGCGGCTTACCACGTGCCGCCTGTGAGAGAGAGTTTAGACGGTGGAAAATAATTTGTCACCCACAAGGACTCTGAGACGCTCTTGGACTCTATCGAGACTATTTTTTTTTTTTTTTTTTTTTTTGCATACCCTTGACAATCTTTTGCTCTCGGCGTTCGACATACCCTTACCCGCCTATTGCTCTTGACATTCAAGGTGTCCTTGATCGTCTATTGCTCATGGCTTTCACCATACACTTGCTTGCCTATTGGTTCTGGGTTTCAACGTACCCTTACCCGCCTATTGCTCATGGCTTTCACCATACTCTTGCTTGCCTATTGCTCCTAGCTTTCAACGTACTCTTCGAGACTGGAAGGTGAGGCCTGTGCAACTCCCACCCAAATAGGACAACAGTACACCATAATCTTCTAAAGGTTAAAGACTTCCTTCTTCTTAGTGTGGCGCGAATGAACTACACTATTGACAGAAACATTGCCTATGTACAATGCTTATCGGCTTTTTATACGTCTCTAGAAGATACCTGACTGCACCTGCCATGCTTTATCTTTACAAGAATCTGATCCGGACACAAATGGAGTATTGCCGCCATATCTGTGATGGAACTGCTCCAGTCTCAGTTTTTTTCCTCGAATCGTCTACACGGAATTCGGAGCGATGGAATATTATCAACAGTGCAGCTCCCGTTCCCACGGTCACAACGTTGCAAACCTTTCACTATTACCAAAGCAATTTTCTAGGCGGGCTACATTAATTTCCACGATTTCAGATCTTTACAGCTCGGACTCACCATACCGCGTAAACATCGAATCATCTTCATTCCTTTCATGTTGCATTGGGAAGAAGTTCCACTCAGAAAGCTTTTTACCCAGAACTGCTTTTTTGTGGAAAAGACTACCAAGAGATTCCTTCACCGATCACTACAATCTTAACAACTTCAAGTCTATCTTACATATCAGTATTTAGTTCTTCTTTCGTCCATAGAACATCCTCATTCAGTAAACCCTCTACTTTGAATGGCTTTTGGGTATTATATTGAGTGAACATCAAGTAAAAATAAAATCAAATAAACATTTCCTAAAAATAAAGTTGATATAATCATTGCATATACAAAATGTCTATAAAAAACATAGCCGATACCCAATGTTAATATAAGTAATGTCTATACACAAAGTGTATATAAACATTCATAAGGAAAACTAATATGAACACTGGCGATGCACAATGTTGATATAAATAATGCCTATACATAAAGTTTATATAAACATTCATAAGGAAAGTTGATATGAACACTGGCGACGTACAATGTTGATATAAACAATGTCTATACATAAAGTTTATATAAACATTCCTAATATGGAAAGTTGATATGAATATTGCCTATACACAATGGTTATACAAAATTCTCTCTGCAGGCCATCGTCGATGTCCTTCTGAATGTATATCTTATCATTTAACAGCCGCGGTCAGTCACGACGTGTAGTAACCAAATCCCCACTACCCCGGGGATAAATATCTATTTCTATTCATTTATATTCGCATCCCATAAGAACCACTTTATATCAGTGTCTATTCGAAGGTTTTCAGACTCAAGAGGGAAAAAGAGCCTTGCCTGATTTTTTTTTCCTGGAGGTCATTAACAATTGAAAATATCTTAAATGTGTCTTCAGACAAAATTGATACGAGTGGCTATCGAATTCTTCTTATAGCCTTTGTTTCGTCACTGTTTTCTATAGAATAAACTAATAGGTTTCATTCTCCCTCCTCCTATATATATATATATATATATATATATATATATATATATATATATATGTGTGTGTGTGTGTGTGTGTGTGTGTGTGTGTGTGTGTGTGTTACATATTGCATATCTTCATTTATTTGTCTGTAGAAGAAACCTGCTGATTGTTTGAAATAGCTGTGGATTTCTGGTCAGAAATGCTAACCAATGTTTGAACCAAAGCAAAAGTCAGGCTGACGCAACACTATCTTCCGTTACCCCAGAGAGTTGCTATCTAACTTTGTGCTCGTCTAAGCCAAGCTTTCTGAGTCTCGATAAAGGTCGAAGATGCTTTTGTCGTGATTAATCCAGCAAACGAGGAAATTCGGAGGCAAACTGAGGATGTATGCAATCGTAACTCTCCACAGCTTCCTGTCTTTTGTTCGTTTAACCAATAGTTCTTCGTTGATGACCATTCTTCTTTTAGCACTTGTTTCTCCATTATTTATCACAATGTTGTCCGATAGTGTATTCATTACTTTCATATGCTACTTTTGTCTTCGATGTGTGCTGTGAATATTAAATTCTCCAAGCCTTCTTTCTAATCTGTCAAGTATCCTACTTGCTGTTTCCCTCAGTTTCTCTTGCTTTCTGTGTGTCCTGTGAGTGTTAATATTCTCCAAGCCTTCTTTCTAATCTCTCAAGTATCTTACATGTTGTTTTGCCTCTGATTCTCTTGCTTTCCAAGTTACCTGTGGGTGTTAAATTCTCCAAGCCTTCTTTCTAATCTGTCAATTCTCTTACATGCTGATTTCTCTCTGCTTCTCTTGCTTTCCATGTTACTTATGAGCGCAAAATTCTCCAAGCCTTCTTTCTAATCTGTCAAGTATCTTACTTGCTGTCTCCCTCTGCTTCTCTTATTTTCCATGTGCCTTGTGAGTGTTAAATTCTCCAAGCCCCTTTTCTAATCTGTCAAGTATCTTACATGTTGTTTTCTCTCTTCTTCTTTTGCTTTCCATGTGCTCTGTGTGTGTTAAATTCTCCAAGCCTTCTTTCTAATCCGTCAAGTATCTTAGTTGCTGTCTCACTCTGCTTCTGTTGCTTTCCATGTGCCCTGTGAGTGTTAAATTCTCCAAGCCTTCTTTTTAATCTCTCAAGTATTTTACTTGCTGTCTCCCTCTGCTTCTCTTGCCTTCCATATGCCATATGAGTGTTAAATTCTCGACGCTTTCTTTCTAATCTGTCAAGTATCTTACATGCTGTTTTCCGTTTGCTTTTCTTGCTTTCCATGTGTCCTGTGAGTGTTAAATTCACCAATCCTTCTTTCTTGCTAGTCGTGTTACTTGCTGTTTTCCTCAACGTCTTTTACCTTGGATGTAAGAGTTAACTTTTTGTTATTCAGGTGATTAAATCTAAACTATGAATTTTATCGTTTTACGAATAGTGTACTGGAAAATTTAATCTGAAAAATTACAGAAATATCGCTTTTCAGCAATATGCAAGAAAAAAAAAAAAAAAAAAAAACAGGAATCCGTGAAAGACAATTATAAGAGTTTGATTGAAAATGTTAATTTAAAAATAAGAAAATTCGTTTTCAGAACGTTTTTCTTCTGGACGTAGACGATCATGTCTCACTCCGTCTTCCCATTCTTTGTAGCTCTTAACATTATATATATATATATATATATATATATATATATATATATATATACAGGATGTTTAAAAAAATTTGATATCCTTTGAGATGTAAATATCACAGAAAGTACGATTAAGGCAAATGAAATTAAAAAGTATTAATGTTGAAGATCATAAGATTTATTCTTCCAAATCTGAATGAGAAATTCAAAAGCATGTGGATTATGTGAACGATTTCACAAATGTTCAATATGCGAACCGCCTGAGACACGGCATTTTTATACCTGGAAAGAAAAAGATTAAAGATTAAAGAACATAAAAATACAAATAAGAAAAACACAAAAACATAAAGACATAAAAACATAAAACAAACATTAAGATGCTATTAAAATTTGAAGTCATTTGAAGGAGATCTAACAAAGTTATTAGATTGCGAAATGATATCAAATTTTTTGAAACACCCTCTATATATATATATATATATGTGTGTGTGTGTGTGTGTGTGTGTGTGTGTGTGTGTGAAAAGTGTATATAAATATAAATAAATATATATATGTATAATTATTTATATATTATATGCGCGGTACTTAATCAGTTTGTCTGACGATCGCTAAAGCGTGAAACCCATGGTCACAAATTCACATCTATCCAACCAAATATATATATATATATATATATATATATATATACTATCCTTCCTATTCCTTTTTTCTGTCATTCATTTACAAAAGGTTGTTAAATCGGTTTCCTGCTGCTTTTATCTGTTCCTCTTGCCTTCAATTAAGTATCAAATTCGCCAAAAGCACTTTTTCTCCCGAGGAGAATGTAACATGAAAAATGTTACATTCGGGATTTTTATTGTAAATTAAACTCTGTCTTTCTGATTTCCATTAACATTTGTTCGAACTTTGTGATTATCGTCTGCCTCATACATGTCATTGTTTACATTACGATACATTGATTGAACGTTATTGTTAATTTTCATATCCGAATTGTTGCCACTTCTTACCGAAACGTCCCGTTTTAAACGTTCGCGAACGCAAGCGGACGACTTTCATTTTCAATCTCAGTTTTCCAATATACACTGCCAATGTTTATTACTCCTGTTTTCTTTGTTTGTTTTTTTCTTTTTGTTTTGTTTTGTTTTTGCATACCCTTGACAATCCTTTGCTGTCGGTGTTAGACAACCTTATCTGCCTATTGCTCTTGACTTTCACAGTGTCCTTGATCGCCTATTGCTGATGGCTTTCAATATACACTTGCCTATTGCTTCCGAGTTTCAATGTTTCCTTACCCACCTACCCTTACCCGCCTATTGCTCTTGGATTTAAACGTACCCTTCCCTGTCAATTTCTCATGACTTTCGCCATACTCTTCCCCGCCTATTGCTCCTGACTTTCGACTAACTTTACCCTGCCTATTGCTCCTGGCTTTCGACGTACTTTTCCCTGCCTATTGCTCCTGGCTTTCAACGTACTCTTCCCTGACTATTGCTCCTGGCTTTCGACGTACTCTTCCCTGCCTATTGCTCCTGGCTTTCGATGTACTCTTCCCTGTCTATTGCTCCTGGATTTCGATGTACTCTTCCCTGCCTATTGCTTCTGGCTTTCGACGTACTCTTCCCTGCCTATTGCTCCTGGCTTTCAACGTACTCTTCCCTTCCTATTGCTCCTGGCTTTCAACGTACTCTTCCCTGCCTATTGCTCCTGGCTTTCGACGTACTCTTCCCTGCCTATTGCTCCTGGCTTTCGACGTACTCTTCCCTGCCTATTGCTCCTGGCTTTTGACGTACTCTTCCCTGCCTATTGCTCCTGGCTTTTGACGTTCCTTTGACAGTCTTTTGCTCCTGGTTTATCTCATGTCTTTGGCCGTCTATTACTCCTGGCTTTCGCCGTACCCTTGCAGGCCTATTTTTCAAAGATATCAACATACCCTTACTCGCCTATTGCTCATGTATTTCGACCTATTGCCTATTACTTCTGGATTTCGCCGTACCCTTGCTCGTCTATTGCTCCTGGATTTCACCGTACACGTGCCTGTCTTTTGCTCTTGGCTTTCGCCGTACCTTTCCCTATCTATTACTTGCCTCTCTACTGGTCCTGGATTTTGCCATCCTCTTTCTCGCCGACTGCTCCCGGCTACCGCCATCCCCTCCCTTTCTATTACTCCCGCCTTTAGAACATAGGGGAGTATGGGTCTTTACAACTTCCTTAGTAAGTTTTGTCTTTTCTACAGTTCCTGTTCTGCCCTGTATTTACACACGCTTATTAGGTAGGTTACTTGCGAATTTCCCCTATCCATCTTGCCTTGATTATGTCATGTGAATGTCATATTCTCCAACCCTTCTCTTCTCATTATGTGCCAAAAGATTTCAATTGTATCTTTCTAATTTTGAGTATAAATGTCATTTTGTTTCCATTTCTTTAAAACTTCCTTATTCACATGTACCGTCTGAAAAATGAGAGAGATGTTTTATATTTTATATTGCCTAAATTCATTCAATGCTGGTAGAAACGAAATTTCTAAGGGTTTTCAGCGAAACCAAAATAAAATTTAACATCGATACTGGAATGTATACCAGCTTGGTATATATTGTAAGTCATACATTGACCGCTTGAGGGACAGGTCATATTTTTTCGTAAGTTGCATTTTTTTTCAAAAAAAATTAATGTTGTCTTTGTTGGAAATATATTTGTTTAATTTAATATTCTAAGGATTCTTCACTATTTTCATATTTCTGTTGCTTCATCTTTGAGGAAATTGTCCCACATTCACAGCCATATAGGAGCATTGATATTACATACTAGTTCAGTATTCTTTTCTTTGTTTCTAATTCATTTTGTTTTTGTTTCTTAATACTTTGTTTAATGTTTGGAAAGCGTCTTTGCTATTCCAATACACCTTTGACTTTCAGTGTCACGTTTCCTATCTTCTTCTAAAACGCTTCCCTAGATATTTAAATGTTTATACTTGCCGTCTTCAATTCATAGCCCCCGCCTTAGGCTGTTCTTCTTGCTGACAACTGTGTACACTTTCATGACAGTTATAACTTTCCGTTTTCCTTTATTACTTTGTCTAGGAATTTCAGAAAGTTAAAGTCTTGGAATTCGGATTATAAATTTAAGCTAGACACAATGACAGTCACGAATTTAGATCTAGATTTTAGATTTCCATTCCCATCTTTACAGAGTATTATGCCTGAATCGATTTGTTTTTATATTTTAGAGGCATATTTTATAAGTAAGCCTTGATATAGAACTTTTAGGAGCCAGTCTCCCAGAAAGACTTTTCGGAAACCGAATTTTCCAGACAGAATTATCTGAAAATAAAATTTCTAAGTGCCGATTTTATATTGAATTAAATTCAATTAGGTACACATGCGCAAAAATCAATTAATGAAAAATAAGATATATAATAAAAAATAACACACACACACACACATATATATATATATATATATATATATATATATATATAGTACTAGTGTTAATAAAATAGTGCTCGATATAATAGATAGAGCTATTAAGTATATATTAATAAATAAATATATTATCCCTCATCGATAGCACGACTTGGAGTTTCATGCACAACGCAATCTTCAGGTGCTAAGTATACATTGATCGATTGCATATATACATATATATAAATAAATATATATATATATATGTGTGTGTGTGTGTGTGTGTGTGTGTGTGTGTGTGTGTGTGTGTATAAAATAATATTTTATATTTTTGAATTTTTTATATTTTTGAATTTTTTATATTAACCATAAAGGGAGATTACTTGTTCTTTAAAAAAAAACGTCATTTGCATTTAGAAATTAATCTTGATCAACGTGTTTATGCGGATATTTATTTTTAGGCCTACGTGTAACCATTAATTCATTTCTCTTGTTTAAAACGCTAGGGTTATTTAAGTGTTTTTATATAACTAATGTTTCAACATGACATAAGTTTTTTTCTTTTCCGTCATAAGATTTGGCGCTTGCTATAATAACCCAGGTGATAAAAGGTGTATTGCCATCATTCTTTAATTGCCAAAAAAAAAAATTAGAGAGAGCAGTGCTGTTTTATATTTTATATTGCCTAAATTCATTCAATGATGGTAGAAACGAAATTTGTAAGGGTTTTCAGCGAAACCAAAATAAAGTTTAACATCGTTACTGGAATGTATACAAGCTTGGTATATATTGCCAGTCATACATTGACCGCTTGAGGGACAGTCCATATTTTTTCGGAAGTTGCATTTTTTTTTTTTTAATTAATGTTGTCTTTGTTGGAAATATATTTGTTTAATTTAATGTTGTTATGTTGGGATATACATTTATCTATTTATAACGTAGCTATAGCTGATCTTAACATTATTTTTGTTAACAATCTTATTAGTGTTGGTGAATGGTTAAAGTGCTTATGAATTAAATTTGGGAAAATTCTTTCGATATTAGTTTGAACATTAAGATTAAAAGGTGGATTAAACCGTATCATGTTAAAGTCACGGTGTTTCTGTTTATTTTTATCTTCGTTGCTTTTTTTTTCTAAATATTCTAAATTTACTTGATGGTTGCTTAGTTCTAAAGCTTTTATATATTTAATTTTATTATTATCAAATATTTCCTTATTGCTGGAGTTAAAAGATAATCTAACTTGGACTGATTTATTTAAGTTATCTAAAATTTTATGACGGTGGCTTGATTCTTTGCTAACGTATCTATGGTTATGTAGATAGGATTTGTAATAACCATTATTCAAGTCTAAGGTCACATAGAGAAAGTTGATCACTTTAGCATTGGTGGCAGTGGTAATATTTATCTCATGATCTTTAAAAAGAATTTTCAGTTGCTTTCTCAGTTGGTCTATATTTCGAGGAATTGTTTTACGGATGAGAATTACACCGTCATCTCAATAAAGTTCGGTATTGTCAAAGTCAAATATATATCTTTGTCGCCACAATAACAAGATTCCAAATAATTCGCATGGCTCTGCTGAATCAAGTGCTCCCATATCAATATTAGAGTCTGGGTTACTTCTTTTGGTCTACAGGTAATCATTATGGAATAATATAGGTTTTTGGGTCGACTTTATTATATTTATTTCACGATCGCTAATAGGACAATAAGTTTTTGCTAAATTTATAGCAGTCATTAGCAGATTCTTAGTGATGGACGGATAAAAGTCAAACTATCGAATTGGATGAATGTACAGCCATTTTTCCTTTTTATATTAGTAAACCAGATAGATAGATAAATAGATAGAAAGTAAGATCTAAATAAATAAATACAATCCGTGGCCGAGAAGTAAATCAGATCAAACGGGGAAGTAGGTTCGATTCCTGTCGGAGAACACATTTTCTTTATTTGAGATTTCTCGAGGGAATGGGCCAATAGACGCAAAATACTATTTAAAATAAAAATAAAAATGGGGCGTATATTTCAAATACGAGTATACATTATAATAGCGTTTGAAATAATAAAATATATATATATATATATGCATAGGTGCAATCATAAATGTATTCATTTTCATATATATATATATATATATATATAGAGAGAGAGAGAGAGAGGGGGAGGGAGGGAGAGAGAGAGAGAGAGAGAGAGAGAGAGAGAGAGAGAGAGAGAGAGAGATATGAAAAAGACCCGATAGATAATGAACAGATTGAGATAGATTTTAATTAACCGGCATGCGAATACTGATTTGGGGGAAAACAGTACCTATGTGTTTATATATATATATATATATATATATATATATATATATATATATATATATAAATCCATATATTTTGGCAGTATATTTTCATTTAAGCATGACTGATTAAACGATTTAGAAATTTAAAATAAACTCTGTCCATATGAACTTAATAATAATAAAATTCCTTTTCTTTATATATTGATACCAATGTTAATACATTCACTACGTCCACATATAAAACCTACTAGTATAAACTCATGCACTCTTAATTATAAGAGTGAATGCCCAAACTAATACAAAATAGACATTGTACTAATATTTAATAAATTTAATAAACCGTGCTAAAATTAACTTATCCATAAAAAAGATTTTCTTCAGTGAACTATTGATGAACAAATAAAGTTATGTATTACAAATTTTATATATATAAATTAAATAGAATATAATACGTTCTCAAATAAGTACATCAATCTACTATATAGTAATCAGCTGCATTCTAAAAAAAAGTCATAAAAACATCCATAAATACTAATATATACGCCACGAATCCCAGTAAAACAATAAAATTAATTATATAATATACTAAATTTAATACAATCAGCCTTATCATCCGTAATAACTCCTCTACAATTGACGTATTGCTGAAAACAAATCACTATATATTAATTTAAATGTCTCTTGGGAGACTGCATCTCCGACAAACATCTGATGTATATATTAGTCATTCTACAATAACGCTGTCAAGACGACTCACTCTACACATGAATGATTTATCCTCCATTGCACATTCCTGTTCACATTCATAATTTAGAAATATATTAGTCTATATTACCGGTATACTTCCCCAAGAATGTAATAAGCAAAAACTAAAAATTCTCGAAGCCATCTTTATTTAAAAAAATTAAAACCAACACTTAACAAAATCAATTATGAATACAGTACAAATGTTCTGAAATGCTTATAGTATATACTTCTTCAGAAATGTCTACATTAAAACTAAACAGTTTTTTAAAAAAACAAACTAAAAACCTACCACAGGAATTCAGTTTTTAACTAAGATACCTTCCCTACATTATAACATTTACAATAAATTTTCAAAAATCACCGGTTGTAACTTTGCGAATGACCGGAATCCTTAACCGTTTAAAGACAAAAAATTACTTCCGACTCACAAATAATTATCTTAGTTCTCATAAACCTGGAGATAAAATAAAATAAATATATCAAAAGTACTCGGGAAAATAAAATGAATAAATATAACAATGGTACCTTCCTTGCACTCTTTAATCACAAAACAACTATCATTATATGTGATTACGAAGATATTATTTATTGATCAAACATAATAGACATTCATTGGCTTTTATATTTAAAAATATATGTTTGAATAATGATCTGCTGCCACAATACACACACTATATATATATTCAACTAAAACAAAATGGCTATTTTTGTAATGATTTTATAACATATTTATGTTATAATTTTCGAATAA